AATAACGATAACTCATCCACTTAGAGATATATAAATCGATAATATTAAAATAATTTGAAATTACCTTAAACAGTCAATATCGCAAAAGACCCCATCGGAACATCTCAAAATGGATGCAGCCTTAGTGACTTCTAGGTTAGGGTGTTGAGCCTCTAGCATAGCAGCCAATCGCGCTAAAAGCTCACATAGCACAAAGGCAGTCAAACCCCAAACCAACTGGCCAGGATAATCACTGAGAGAAATGTCCTTAGAATTCCCACAATCTAAGTTTTGCCGGAACTTCATAGAGGATTCTATGGAAAGGCTTGGAATATCATAAGCGTCACTAGCAAAAAAACAAGGAAAGTAGGTAGGCTTTGAGATCTTGTCGAAGAGTTGTTTTTTTAATAGACGAGCATGAGTATATTCACTGTTCAGAAATAGATTCGAGAGATGAACGTAGTGAATAGAGGCCACCTCTTCCGAGTTGGTGCAACTCGGGTGAATTTGAGCGTCGGCAATGGCAATATGCGGTGTAACTAAGATATCTTTCTCAGCGCTAATAATGGTTGTCAAGTCGCCTATTATGTCATATAAAGAAGAATCCAAGTTAATCTCTTCCCGAACTTCGCGCTGAGCAGCCTGCTGAGTTGTCTCACCCAATTCCACACGTCCCCCTGGGAAGCTTATCTGTCCTTTATGCGTGGTAACGTTAGCGCTACGTTTGGTCAAGGTAATGCAGGCGTCCTGAAAGCCGACCCCAGTTGGGGCTGGAGAGAGAATAACGAGTACCGCGCCAGAGGATGACGCTTGTTGCGTGTATGACATTTTTTGCGGTGAAAACCGAATCGTGTGATCTGCATCCTGTCTGTAAAAGTGTTCTGGATACCACACAGACTTAATTGGTAACCTGACAGCAAGCTGGATAAGTTGACTCCATTCAGCCATAGATTGAGGCAAGAATGAAGTCAACTGTTTTGCGGCCATAAACGTCATTTCTAAAGGTCTGGCGCAGGGGCGACAGAAAGATACAAGCGGAAAATGGTTTGCAAAGGGGAAAAAAAACTGTAAAGAATTCTCAATATGCAATCTACATTCAAAACAGAATCATAATTAAATTACTTAGATGCATTCCATTTGAGTTATATATATATATATGTATATATATGTAACATATATATACATGCATCGTTGACGACAGCAATAGAGCACATCTTACCCCAAATTCAAAAAGAGAGCACCAACTCTAAAAATTAATTTCACTCAGACTCAAAAAAGAAAGTGTGCCTTTCAAGGTATCTGCTAACAACGTCTCCCAAAGGATGGGAAGAGAAAGCGAGAAAAAAATGGTTAGAATACACATCGCTTAACCACCGAACTTAACACCTTGGTATGGTTTCTTATTACTGCCGTCTAAGTTAAATAATGTGATTCTCAAGGGTCGCAACAGAATGTTGGGGTTCTTAGCCAACACTTCTAGGAAACTCCGAATGGCCATTTCAGCGTTTAAAGCCCCAACATCATCAATAGGTACCTTTTCTGAAGAGCAATCTAGAAAAAAAATGGGTTTGAGTTTGTATTCCAAGCATTTATTTTCTGCTAGTTCATCAAACGTCATGACGGCACCTTTCTCCTCAAGCATGGCTAAGGTCGTACCCTGGCCTGCCTCAAGCAACCAAGATGACAGCGACTGCTCCAATTCCGAGAAGCCACCTTTGTTCGTCGCGACTAGAACCGTGAAGTCATCGGCATCCTCATCGAGCACGGCGCAATGGTTGGAGTGCTGCGCGGCAAGACCTTCTAGCATAACGCGTGCACCTACGGGAGAAAGGCGTCGTCGGATGCCGGGGTTGTGAAAAATATCGCTGTTAACACTGTAACAACGTAAAACAGGGCAAACTCCTAAAGACAGCCGTTTGGCGTGGTAGGCCGCGTGATCAAGAATAAGAGAACTCCATAGTGTTATTTGACGCTCCAGCGAAAGCGGTGCTGGCTGTTGCGTAAAGAATGGTGGAAGCTCAAAAAAATCCCAATGATCCGGCTGTAGTGGTATTTTGTCGTATTTATCCGAGTCCATTGCGTGTGAAATTGGAAATATCTATGATCTACTGTTGTTTAGGGAAAGGGTCTGGGGTTTTAGACGATAGATGTTTCTTTTAATAGAAAATGGAAAATATAAGAGTATAAAAAAAAACTATTTCACTGGAATCGATTATTGGTATTTGAAGCTAAACATCTTCATTTGTATACAAACACAACAATTATGAAAACGAATTACTAAACATAGTTTGGTAACAAATTTTCATCAAACTTCGGATTACAAGCCTTTGCTTTGTGGATCCTCGCTTTATATTTCATGCGTGGCATTATTCAAAAAAAAAAATCCATTTTTCCTTGGGGTTCTAATATCCCAATACTCTCGTGCTGCACTTTAAAATACCATCAATAATTTTTAAAAAAGTGCTTGAGCCTTTTCAGAAATCGCCACTGCCACTACATCGAATCCTAGAATGTAAATAATATTAATAGTCATAATAATAATGCAATTGTAGTAGTATCTATTTAAGGGTAAATAATTACTCTACAAAAAGGTGTTAACAGGAAAAATGAGAACTAAATATGACAAGTATCTGCTATTTCTTTGGAAATCAGTACTCAATTCCCCTCTTTCTCTTCAGCATTTAGTGAACGCTATCCACCACCTCCACTCCATTCGCCGTAACCGCCTTAACAAAAAAATGCTGACAGGAAATAATCACACGTTTTTTGACCTCGTCGATGCACTTTTGCATCAGCTCCAGCCCCTCCACATGAGTCAAGTCCGGCTTCCAGAAGCGGTCTAACAGAGAAATCACAAAAGTGCTACCGTAGCCGTGTGCCCCGTAGGGAACCTCCTGCATCGTGCCGAGGTAGTCCAAATAATAAAGGTGCGGCCCGCAGGTGTTGGTGTCGTCATCCGAGGTGCCAACATCATAGCCGGCGAAGAGGCAGTTCACCTGGTACGCCCCCTTGCGGCTTCGAATCGCGGAGGCCAGCTCCCCGCGCATGAAGCTTGCCGTTGAATGGCACGTGCTCTCCCGACCATGCTGCCGAACACGATTGAGGGCGAGATTGCACTTGATGTACTCCGTGAAGTTCACACGCGGACCGTTTTCACCGACACACGCCACCATCTGGTGAGAATTGAGCTGTGTGATCTTGTCCTCATAGTCGGTGATTTTAATGAAATAAAAGGCATTGATACCAGCCGCCGCCGCTATTGCAAAATCATTGCAACGAAATGCAATCACAGTATCGGACATGGTGTAAGTGATATCACCTTATTGTGCGCTTTCACCTTTTCTTTAATTGAAATAGATCTTCCCCTCTGTAATCTCCAAGAACAAATTGCGATAAACAACCTAGTATATAAAATCGGGGAAAATGATAGATATAAAAGTAATTAGTGCTTATATATAAAAATAAAAAATGGAAGTGATATATCAAAAATAGTAATAGTCATAACCCTGGGAAGGTTAAAGGAAAAAAGAACAGACATGGAGTAGGCTTTATTCAAAATGCCATCAACAGTTAGACTAACAAAATAAAGCTACTTTGCATGTGTATGCATTTTGGCTTTATGCAGAAAAGGAATAGTCTATTATATACTTCTAAATGTAGAGGATTTACTCATTTCTATATATTGTAATGCTGATTATACACATTTCTCCGACTGAAATTGTTTTTTTTTTGCCCTCCTCTTCATTTAAGTTGTAAAGAAAGGGAAATAAAAAACATTCTATAGCTGAATACGTGCTTGTGAAAAAAAAGATTACTCAGTATCACAATTTATAAGAGATTTTTCCCCTGTTTTTCTATGAAATCTTTACACGGGCGAAATGACTTACGATGAACAGGACAAAGACCATATTGGGCCACATGTTTCATGTGTTGCTCTACGGGGTAGCCTTTATTGTCAGCAAAACAAAAATCCGGGTAAAGTCCGTCCAAGTAACTCATAAGCTCGTCGCGTGTTACCTTTGCAAGGCAGGAAGCCGCCGCGATGGACAGGCTTCGTTTGTCACCTTCAATGATGGGATGAACCTTGCCGCCGATGGAGAGGTCGGTGAAGTAGTCGTAGCTCTGTTTGGGCACTGTGTGGCCGTCAATGAGCACCAATGGCGGTTGTATCGGCTCGAAATCAAAGTCGTCGGAGGGGCTTTCGATCAGATCGATATCGCGTGGAACCATATAACGCTTCTCGTGGTCGTGGCCGGCTACTGTGCAGAATCGACTGAACAGGTACCGTGCAATTGACGAATACTTAGGGCGCGGAGCAACCTCGTAGGAGAAGCGAGTGTCGTTCAGCATATGCCATACAGCAAAAGCAGAGCGATGCATGCAATTCATAGATGCTCTATGGATATTAAAGATGTCAATGTAGGTGTGGTTTGCAATGCCGATGGACCACAGATATAGATAGTTTCCCGCGCTGTTGTATCCATGTAAAGTAACCAGAAAAGGGATTTGCATGGACAAAATCTTTTTGAAAGGGAGCCTACCTAGTCTTGCATGTGATTCAATCGACTTCGATGCGAACACACGACTGGAAGTTTGATCCGACCCACAATGATGAACTATAAACTTTTTGTTCGCCGCAATGTTAAAAAAATCGGCATGGCCGGTTATCATGGCAAACACTAAATTTCGTTGGCATTCTGATACAGACTTGCTATCAAATATTTGAAATTGTTCCAATGCATCGTAAAGCTGTGCGTACTCGTTATTAAAGCTAGACATGGGAATCCGGCAGACCGCGGCGCCAACCACCGGGCCAGCGAGGGGCCCACGACCTGCCTCATCACATCCTATCACGATAGCGGTTTCCTTTATGCTCCTCCGCAACACTACGCCGTTTTTCCGGATGTTCGCCACCGCGGCATCACGTCCCTTCTGCAACTTTTGCTGCATCGCATGAGTCATCTTTCCCGTGATATCATCAGGCATGCCGTAGCCCGTGGCCTGCAATGAGGGAAGCAGTCCATCGCGGAAAAGCTGATACCCCGCGAAATCCAACGTGGCGTCGAGCGATGGCTCATCGTTGTCGGTCTTAGCATACTGAACCTTGATCTCCTGTAATGCGTTCCACGTCAAAGGGAGTGGGGATTGCGGACAGGAAAATCTCGGTTGAGAGTGAAAGTAGCGGTACCCATTTATTGATGCCCTCTGTGGGTCGCCCACAAATGCTGCACCACAGCACAACCTGGGCAGACACCTAAGGAAGCTGCGCATGGGGGTCTTACAGAGACACTATACTAAGTACCTTTTCCAAGTAAGAGTTGATGAGGGGGAGGGGGGAGGATAGAATATAAATCTTTTTTTCCTCATCACGGAAAAGCGGCGTCATTGCGACCGCGATACCATTATTCAAGGATCGGTGGAACGTGTATTAGCACAGTGTGTTTCAGATTGTGTAGTCATTAGAAGTGGATAAAATATATGACATTAAATAATTGCAAATACAATGAGAAATCCATGGCAACCCAACTCTTTTTTTATTGACTATGTCAACATATAGAGTAGAATATTC